TTCTGCCTACTGTACTGAGTTATTAGTGCAGCACAGAAACACAACGCCACCGTATCGTTTTTCATCTTAAATGCTGCCCATATGAGAAGATGTGGTGATATGAAGAATCAGTGCCTCTGGGCGGTTCTGCGGAGGAAACCAGCCTAATAGAACAAACATGGTCGGTGCCAGGATGCTTTTTCAGGAAAAACACAGCTCAGACTGTCTCAGGCCTGAGCGCAGATCTCTGGGCTTCGAGGTCTCAACAGGCAGCTCTGGCTCGAGCGTTTCTGTGGAGCTACTCAGCCGCAGAGTCTGACCCTCTATGCATCTTTTCAGCTGCCTCTCAGCTCAGTGGGACCCTCTGCAGAGTTTCACACTTGGAGCTACTTAAAAGACACAAATTGATGAATGGAGCCATTAAGACGGACTCGTAGCGCTGCGTTTTACGGCACATCGTTGCCCAGCGTGCCGCCCTGCCCGGCCCAGCGGGAGGAGGTCAAACCGGGCACGAGGAGACGGGGGGGAGGGCTGGATGTTGGCACAGAGGAAAGGAAATGAAACAGTGGGATGGGAGAGAGCCAAGCTTTCAGAAAGTGTGTGGTTGCATATAAAGCACAGAGAGTCCACTGCGGCGTTTTTCTTCGGTGCTCAGCAGCATGTGTGTGTTCTCCTTAATGGTGCCGTTTTCTGTTTCCGTCTCAATCCGTCATCCCCAGTGTGGTTTTTTTTGGACTCGGACTTTTACAGCACATCATGAACAACATCTTTGTCTCCTCGTATTAAATCACCTTCGCCCAGTGATAATATACAGTCATCTGCATGGATGAAAACAAACAGTGGAGCTGCAAAAACAAGCCGGCAGAATCCTTTGACTGCGTTTTAGGATACAGCAGATGTGTTATGAACAGTAGGTCACCTGTTTGAATCCAGAGACCTGCCAAAAATGCAGAACATTAGTTGAAATGACTTGCTGGCAACCAATCACAGCCTCCTGTGTTGTGTTGTAGTGATTCAGCAAGTCAAGCACAAACTAAGTTCTCAAAATTTAAATGCAACTTTTGGTTTTTCGCCTTAACTTTAAGTCTTTGTGATGGATTTTAGACATTGTCTGACTGTGAAAGAGTGGAAAAAGTCAAACAACCCTTAAACTTAGCTTAACTTAACTTAACTTGACTTAACTTAACTTAACTTAGCTTAACTTAACTTAACTGAAACTGATACTTATACTTATACTTATACTTATACTTATACTTAAACTTAAACTTAAACCTACATGGATTTTGACAAATTTACAAATCTTGGAATTGGAATTCCTGAGTAAAAGTTTGTAAAACATTAATGCTGGTAGTGTGGCTGTCTTCGCCGTCATTGATAATTTTTTTTTTTTTTTAACCACTTGTGTGTGTATTTATTTTAGGTTTATAACAGATTGTTCTTGGTGTGTTCTCCACACAATGAAAGCATTCAAAATCCTGAAGTTTTAGGAAGTTCAGATGCTCCATTTTTCAGTAAAATGCCACTTTGACTCAACATTTCTGCTTTTTGGTTCTTAGAAAAGAAACTCCTGAGTACAAAGCATGACTGACTGTGTTTGTGAGTGTGTCCAGGTGTGTCCAGGTGTGTGTGTGAAATGACTACAACAGGTTGTGTCAGCTGTGTTTGTGTTAAAACTCACCTCAGCTGTCCCACCAGACGGTCAGAGAGTCTGTCTAGTAGGACTACACCAAAGGAAGCTCATTCGTTTATTTAACCAGTCGTTAACTGGTGGTGAACCTGTGTTTGCCTGACCTCGAACTGGAACACAGGCTGCTGGACTCTGGGTGGGATGACCTCTGACCTTCGAGGTGTTTCATCTCCGTAAGGGGCAGACATAAGCAGAGTCTTTCTATCTCTGCAATGCCACCTCTGTCTCCTCCCGTCTGTCTTTGTCTCAGTTATGTCGTCGTCTACATGTAACTTGCTAATACTGATCTTGAGTGGGAGCTAATTCTAAATATGTTTCATACTTTTATCCAAAGATGAAGACAAAGAATTGAATTTAGCAATATTCTAGTCCATCAACCACCTGCTGTTTTCTCATCATGGAGGAGAAGGCAGTCATGTTCATATTTATCCTCTGTAGACCTGGCGTCCACATGAATGGACATCACATTTTGGGTTATATTACCACAGTAGTTAATTCTGCTTAACTGGGGCCTTATGGACACATGTGTGGACACTTACAGTACCGTCTATGATGATATTTAGTTTTTATACTTATCAGGTTCCAATAAGCCCAAATAGCAAAGAGAAATAAAAAAAAAAAAGCATATCAAGTAAGAGCTCATGTCTATAGACATTTTTTTAGATACGATTTTAAAGCCACCAAAATCATTTTCCAACTGGTGTGCAGTCATATTTGTGAATGTAATCCGGCCATTCAAGAAGTCCTTACAGAGCAGTGCCTATAAGAAGGATTCACCCTCCTTTGAAAGTTTTTCCTCTTTTATTGTTTTTCAGCATTGAAATGTGATTAATTTAATTTGGTCTTTTTTCAAAGAATTGAGAAGAAAAAAAAAACAGGCTTTCATGCTAAAGTGAAAGCAGATGTCTACAAAGTAATGTCAATTAGTTAAAAATATGAACTGAAAAATAAGATATTGCAAAAGTATTCAGCCCAATTAAAGTGACTTACCTCATTCATCAATGTGCTGCCAACTGGTGC